AGGCAGAGGCAGGGGCAGACTGAAGCCCAGCGTGCTGACTCCACGGTCACCCAGGCAGAGGCAGGGGCAGACTGAAGCCCAGCGTGCTGACTCCAGCTTGCTGCGATTTCGGCAAGAGCATTCTCCTCTCTCCCCAAACGTGCAAAGAACCCTCAAAACCCAACACCCCAAGGAAGCACAGTGGCTTTATGGTGTTTCTTGCCTGGCCTGGAAGGACCCCTCCCTTCCTAGAGGCCACCCTTCAGCACAGGCATGCGTCTACACTGCACGAGAGGACATTGCACCAGACACGAGGCAGCACCTGCCCAGGCAGGGTGCCCATCTGGGTGATCTGGGTGGGCAGAGCTCTTCCCAGTTCCTCCTGGGCCACACGGTCTGCCTTCCAGTCACGCCCCATCTATGCTGGGCTGGGACAGGCCCCAGTGCCCTTTAAGGGGTCGGAGGGAGTGAGAAAGGTTCACACAGACAGCCTGACCCAGCCAGGTGCAGACCACATAAAAAGTAACCCTGCTGCAAAGCACCATGCTATTCCTGTGGAGCAAGGCAAACTGCTAGCCTGCACCTGCTCAGGCATGAGACCTCACCATGGCGGAGGGGCACTGCCCAAGTGGAGCCCAGCTCATCCCCACCAGCACCCTGGAGACCCTTCTCACCCAGGAGGGGCTGGAGCCTGGTGAGGCCCCAGCACAGGCGAGGGACTATCCTGGGGTAGGCCCTGGTTTAAAACAAAACCAGAAAAACCAGGGCCCATCCTTCCACCAGCCCACACCATAGTGCATGTGGCCCTCGCCCCCTGCTTTCCACATTCTTGATGTTAAATCCAGAAGTGATTTAAAAAACAGACAAGTGCCAGTTTCATTTTCAGAGCCTTCTCTTGTGTGTGTGTGCCCTCAAAAATGAATTGTGCCGGGATGGGAGATTCCACCACCACTGGGAAGCCCCTGGTGGGACCCTGAGACTCTGTCAGGCCGAGCTGGCTCGAAGGAACATGGACAAAGGCAGGACGGGGCCTCGCCAGGGCCTCTGTGCCCAGCGCTGGCCCCAACTGTTGGCTGCAGAATCTTGACCTCATCCCATTTCATGGGCGAGGGGCACACTGTGTGGCAGGAGACGGGGCTCTGGAGCTTTGATGAATAGCAGCCCTTACTCAGCGGCCCTGGAGACTGCCTCCTCCGACGCTCAGGCCTTTGCCTGGCTCGCCCCGGGTCTGGCCTGTCGAGCAGGGGAGCTGGATGCCCCTTGTTTCGGGATCTGTTTTAATCCAGAGGGACGCCCTGCAGCCTCAGCAGAGCACCACACCATTCCTGTCCTCCGTGCTATGTTCCGTCTGCTGTGGCCTCCGGGTAAACGTCTCCAGCATTTTATAGGCAAGGCCCGGGTGGAACTTGAGCTTCTTCTAATTACCAACCTCGTCACTGCCAACGCCATGCCAAGCAGAAGCTCCCGGCTATCATGGCATGCCTTCCGCAGCTGCACCCCAATTCTGAGATCGCCCCAGAATGTCCCACCCCAGGTTTCACGTCTGCTAACTGCGTCTCATAAAGTGATAAATAAAAACTCAAAATGGGGCGACGGGGCAGCGGGGGAGGCAGCCCAACAAAAAAGACGGCCAAGGTTAGTTCCTCCAGCACAGAGGTAAACTTCCCACCTCCGGCCATGGCTGGCTGGACCCGACTGAAATGGTCCCCTCAGTCCGTGGGGTTCTTGGGGAGGGCACTAGGCAGCTGAGGGGGAGGGAGGCGTGAGGCAAGCCTGGACTACCCAGGCCTCTGTCCATGTTCCCAGAAACACAGCCTCCAAGAGCCAGCTCATAGCCCTGGGGTGTTATGGAAACAGGCCCCCCATTATTTTGTGGTGAAAGCACCCAGCAAGGTTATCCAAACCACCTCAGTAAGGTGGGGAGGGCAGGGGGGAAATTGCACCTGTGG